GAATTTAGAATAGAAAACAAAAGCGAAATAAAAATATAAAACAAAAGCGAAATAAAAATATAAAACAAAAGCGAAATAAAAATAGAATTTCAAGGCGAAATTAAACCAACGAAATCGGGTTAGGCGGATTTACCAAAATTATTCTTAATCCGGTAACAATATACATAATCGTACATGTAATAGCAATTAGGAGGACGACAATTATCTGGACAATTGAAAGACATCGAACGATTATTGTCTGGTTGTTCTAAAAGAAATCATCAATGTAGAATAATAACCTTAGAATTAGCGTAGTATATAGAAGCGTTTGAGTCTCTGGAAGACATGCTTTAATCTAATAAAATAACAAAATTTTTACTTGTAGTACATGTATTAATATTACTTGTGAATACACTAGTATTTTGATTAAACTTCAGTGAATGCTCCTCCACTTAAAATAAGCCGTTATTTTTCTTTGATTTGATTTTTTTATCTTGGTTTTTACCTTTACAGGCTGCGTCAATAAGTCCTGTTAAATTGATTTTGTTCGTTTGGACAGGCCTTATCAATAAGTCTTGTTGAATTAATTTTGTTTCTTTGAACAGGCTGTATCAATAAGTCCTGTTAGATTACTTTTATTTTTGTTTCTTTGGACAGGCCGTTTCAATAAGTCCTGTCACGTCCGTGAATATATTGATCATTGTTGAACAAACGAAGACTTTATTATAACGATTTGATTTTGTTACAAGAGTAATTCTATCCTATTTCCCCTTTTTAAACACCTCTCTCTTGTTGTGAAAAGATCGATTTGTGTACAAGTCGCCACGGGAAGCCTTTAGAATGATCAAAGAGACCCTTTAACTGTAAATAATTCGGTCTAGCTCTCATCCCGTTGCGAAAAACCCCTTGATCAATTGTTGAAATAAACATAACGGTCTGGTGCCCCTATCCGTCACGAAATAAACTCCTTTAGCTAAACACTGAAGGAAACGTAACAGCACTACTTCCTACAGACTGCTTAGTAACTCATTCGTCTGATGTTTGAAAAAGGCAACCTCTTTGATATTTTTTACTAACCTTAGTAGCTTTCACTTACCAGAAAACATCGTGTCAAGCCAGTGTTTTTTCTGCTTTGTCTTCGTTATTATTATATTTAACTAACAAATTTACAAAATACTTGGACACAACTGATTTTGAACATGGAATCTGTCGTATCTGACCACTTACATCAATTACACTAGTTGCAAACATCAGTGAAATTAGCAGTGCTTTCATGATGCTGCTCAAAAAGTGGCGTCAATCATAACGAATTCTAATCACGAGACTTCCTCCCGTCAATTTATTTTTTCATCACAAATTAATTATACAATCGCAATTTTGTAGCTATTTGTTTCTTTTAATTTACATCAAGTCATTAATTTTAACATCATTACAAAAAGAGCAACTGTTCTCTAAAGAAATAAAATTAGAGAAAGATGGAGAAAAAGAAACAAGTAAATTCATAATCAGCTAAAAGACTGTAATTCGAATACAATCATCTTGAGCGCCACGTTGAGCAAAGCATTAAAAGAGGTTGATGTGAGTGCGAGGTATGCAAATACGATACAATCCGGATAGCAATCCAGTCGTTACTTCTACTGACAGATTATTGTCTCGTACAATTCTTTGAAAAAAGCGAATATCCTTGCATCTGGCGGTATGTTAGAAGATATCATCTGCTGAATTGTAACATGTAGATGACTCTTGATAAAACCATCAGTTAATATTCAGTAGCTACATCACTGAAGCTTCCAATTGCCAAATTAGCGCTGACTACAAATATTATGAAAGAGGTATGGTTTTGCCATTTTATGGTGAGACAATAATGGATGATTAATATCAGGAATTTCTCCTAGTTGAGTATTGGAACAGGATTTTTTAATAGAATGCCATTTGTTTAGTTTTTTTTTTTTGAGACATCGCAACTTTTCCACTTGCAGGATCAGATAAAGTGTCTTTGGCAAAGCCTGCATTACTATGGCTGGGAGCAGTTGGCGCTGACATAGCTAGAATAGCAGAAATTGTAAGCATAGCTCCTCTAATAATAGGTTTAGTGGTGGATGTTGATGTTTGAGTACGCTTATGTATCTTTTTTCTTTTATTGTGTTCAGAGGACGCGACGACAGCCAGAAGTAACCTACCTCCCATAACTTTCCGTAGATCATGTGTAATGAACTAAAATTTTCCGAGCACAAAGAGCAAACGCAAACACCGATAATTTACGCCTTTTTTATAGACTTTATAGGCTGATAAACTTCACCAAACTTCTAACATAAATAATGTCGTTCCAAATACGAGATCGTTTTTTACACACACCAAAAGGGTCCGAAGCTTGAACTTGAAGCTACAGCTAAATATGTTCATTGTAGTAAGCCCACAGTGGTCTATTGGGTCCAAAGATGGCCGAAAACAAAGGGCCTAAGTGATCAATCGAGAAACCGATCCACAACTCCGTAGTAAGACGAAAAGAATGTAGAGCTTGCACAGAAACAAACTAATGCAATCGCCGCTGACATACAACGGGAAATGGAAAAACGAAACGTCAATATTAATTTGAAAACTATTCAACGACGTTTACACGAAGGTGAAGGCAAATATATGGTGAAACTTTCTAAAGCTCTACTTACAAATGTCATAAAGAAAAACAGTTGGAATGGCAAAAAAAATAAAAATTTTGATTGGAGTAAGAGGTTATATTTTAAGACGAAAGCACATTCCGTCTAACCAATCATTACTTAAGGTCTGACAGTTTCCTGGACGAATAAAAATATTCCGGTCTGTGAAGCATCCATTAAAAATCAATGTGCGGAGTTGTTTTTCTGCTTCGGGCTTTGGTAAGTTAGTCTACTTCCAGTAGAATCTCAATGTCGAATTTATGGTTACGGTATACAAACGCGGTCTTCTCCCATCTGTTGAGTATCTTTTTGGGGATGATTCTGAAGGGTGTATTTTGCAAGAGGATAACGACTCAAAACACCGTTCGAAATTGCTGAGTCGTTAGAAGGAAGAAAACATTGAAGTTCTTCCACTGACGTCAATGTCATCCGATTGAGAATGTTTGGAGGTTGATGAAAATTAATATCGCAAAAAAATTAGAACTCTTATTGGACTAAAGGTACAATTAGCAACAGAATGGAATCACTTACCTGATGATCTTACCGCAAATCTTGTCCATAACATGAGAAGTCGGGTTGAGGCGTTAGTTGAAGTTGGGTGATTATACAATGTATTAATGATCAGGATATATTGTAAACATTCTAATAAAAAAACGGTTTTATAACTGAGTTATGACGAGTAGGTTACTTCTGATGAGCACTGTATTAAGTTGGATAATAGATAATTGGTTTCGAAATTATATATAGGTAACGAAAAATTTTTTATAATATTGATTTTTTACGATTTTTGGTGAAAATTATTCCCAAACAAGGAACTAACGCTAGTATCGACTACCGTAGTGTTTCGGACGAAACTACGTACCGGTATGTCGTTATATCGAGAGTTAACGCTTAATTTGGTCTACAAAATGTTTACCAAACTAGGGATCGGATTTTTGAAAATTCTATCGTTAAAAAAATCATTAATAACGATAAAGATGGAACCGGCTCTATTATCGTGAGTGTGCCTATAATAATTCCTTAATTTTGAATCCTGATTGCTATGCACGTAATCGATATGTCGTACATACTAAAGTGAAATAAAAAATATGTACGTAACAACTTGTAGGGAAGAGGAAGTAGAGTAGGGAGTAGATAGAATTAGGATAGGATGAGGTAAAAGAAAAATGGGAAGTGCGAGGAGTGAGCTGATTATGAAATACGTATATCAATGAATTGAAATACATATAAAAATGTTTTTTATATACTGAAATACTAACTTTATACTCATATTTAATTACCGTAAATTGTCGTATAAAAGATCTCTCTAATA